CAACAGCTCTAGTGAGGCCTTAACAGTAAAATTCACCTTTTAGTTGTGCTTGGAGAAATGTTGTCGTTTTGTTACAGTAGCCTATGATTTGTTGCAAATCAAGTTCTTTATTTGTTAATGCGTGAAGCTTTAAATGGTATATATTGTGTTATTTGGGACACAAACTAAAGCGTCATTTTCATGGTCAGCTCCTAATGAGTGGATTCACTTTTTGTATTAGATTTGGCATAATTCCATTCACCATCCCTGAATAGTAACTCCACAATCGGAGCAGACGTCTCTGCAGATCGTGACAGCAGTGCTGCATGAAACTGCTTTGTCACCATGAAATCAAACAGAGGAATTTCTGATCTTGTCCAATGCCCATGGCATGGGTCTTTAAGGCTGTCATTCTAAGTTATTCTGGGTCATTTCAGAAAAACGTTGTGACCTTCAGTATCAGCTCTTGTTAATCAAAGTGATCGTCTCAACTGTTCCAAGAGACTGATGCTGAGTCAAGTCAAGCCAAAGCAAACAGTAGGGAAGAAAAAATTGCATCTCAAATGATGTTGTTCGTTGTGCGGCAGCCAGCACAGGAACATTTGGAGCTTGACTTCAATAGTAATATTACAATAATCAAGGCTGTTACAGACGTGGACATTGATTAGACATAAGTACTTCACAGACTTTGACAGGTTTTCATCTAATAATGGAGCGAGCAGAAAGGTCAGTGGTACACCATAGTAATCTGCGGGTGGTGCAATGGGAATCTTCACCAAACTCAGAAAACTCATTGGCTAGTCAAGACAAGACAACTGACTTGTCTACAGCCAAACATCCAGTATACAGCATTAAGTCAGGACGATAGCTTATAGCTTATAGCAGCGACTGCTTTGCAGCCAATGCATTCCACCTCTTTTTCTCTGCACACATAGCAGCTATCCTGGATATAGCCCAATCCTTGCTGAAATAGTAATGGACATTTCTACTGAGACTTCATATGCAAAACAGGAGGCAAGACATGATGGAATTTCTGTCCTTTTTATCAAGGCTACGTCTATTCACAGTGTCAGCAACAGGCCTGTCTCTGAATTAAAACGTCATCAACCCCTTCTGCTAGCGCACGCTGATTTTCCTGAATATTTCCTGCTGCTTCGCACATTGGCTCAGCCCGACTTCGCGCAGAAATTGTTATGGGAGGAAAAAGTCGGGGTAATGCCTGGCATTAAAAATTCAACCATTTTGATTCAAAGCTCACCACGCTAACTTTGGGTAATTTTGTAGGAGTTCTGTGCATGTGTAAAAACAACATCACAGGGCTCTTCCTCCATAGACATCAATGTTAGCTCCTGAATCATCATCATCATCTCTGAAATGTATGCAACAAAACACGCTAAAAATACTCAATTATGAGGTCACTGTCCAATTATTTTAGTCTCCTTGCAGGAGTTTCTGACTCAGAGGTGATTAAGTGGTTTTGTCAGTTATCAGACACTTAACAGGAAGAGAGAACGGGCCACAAACAGGACAGAGAGGAATGTGCTTCCTGTTAGCCGGCAGTGTTAAACAGGGCAGATACCACGTGCCATCATAACTGACGCACACATACAGTATATACACACATGCTTGTACACTTCAATACTAAGAGACAGGAATGTTTTTCTACTGAAATCAGGGAGAAGCAGACTGTCAGGAAAGACAAACAGTAAGAGTAGATAACTCTGAGACAGTGTGTCCGCGTGCAGAGGTTCGAATTAGAACGCATGAATCTAACTCCAGTTCTTGACAAGAGGGCGTCCAATTTTCCAGACAAACATGAAAAAGAGATTGGGAAACTCCAGTGTCGAAACAAAATGTAGACAATGCAGAAGTGCAAAAAAAATGTTAGTTTTAAAAAGCTAATTTCTATAGCAGAAACAAACGTGTTCACAGTTTGGCTCAAAAACATGTTTACTCTCTATGGCTCATTTGTTTACTTGCCAAAATTGTATTGTAATTTTTCGTCATAACTCATCCGTTTTGATTATATTAGCGCGAAAAGTAATTCATACATTTCCATAATTAGGGGTTTGACTGATAGGTGGGTGTGTTGTTTGCCAGGAGGCTAACAGTCTGCTACAGCTCCACATTTTTGCATGTTACTAGACTGACCGAAACATGAAATGATGATAAAATCTCAAATATTCTCATTCATTTTGTTCCAAATTTTATCATGTCTTAGACAAGCATAGAGGATACAGTTGAAGGACTTATACTCTGGAAAATATTCCATTATTATTACATTTCTTGCTGCCTATAGTCCCCATACCTTAAAGCACACGGATAGATCCCATGACTCAAAAGCCATGGCAAATAATTGGAGAGACACCAAAATAAAACTTCATTTTGCCAATTTATTTACAAAAACATGAATTAAACCTCAAAAGAGATGAGGTTTTGACGTCAGCAGAGTCAGCAGTGTAAGTGAGTGGGGGTGTGAATAGTCTATTGTGCATGTGTTGGATGGAAAAGGAAGACCATGTAACAAAACAAGTCGCATGCAGAAACTCTCTCTGAGCAGACTGAGGGTGCATTTGAATTGTCTTATTTGCTTAGGAAGGTTCCTAACTGAGTGAAATGACCCGGAAGCATCTAAGTGGCGGCCATGATAAGAGTTCGAATTCTCTTAAAGCAAAGGAAAGGTGCGTCAATGCTTCCTTTACAACCTCCTTTAGTGTAGGATACACTGGACCATCCTTTAGGAAAGGAAATGAGATAATTCCGCCCAATAATTCCTTGCGGCCGCAAGCGACTTGTGAATCCGACCGTTCACAAAAACTAACGATGCTGTTTTATTCAACATATTTCATCAACTAAAGAATGCTTTGTGCAGTTGTATACTTTGTATGCTTTGAACATGATGTATATTTGCATAAATGTAACAATTCATTTCGTAATTATTTTGGATTAATGTTGATTTATGAATGGACAGGAAGGTGATGGTTTCACTTTTGTTAATCGTAGCCTGGTAGCCTAAATGCCTTTTATTTATATTCCACCCTCGTGGTACTTTGGATTATTTCCCCAGTAAGCAGAGACGGGACGGTTTTTTAGATGCATTTTTAGATGATTTGTAGTCCATTTTCAGAACATTGTAGTTTCACCACGGCAGACCCACGTCATTAACCTCCGCCGTCGCATAATTACGTCGTCTAGTGGGATTCGGTCGGATTCTCAGAGCACTGTGATCGCCTTTCCCTAAGTCCTTTATGAATTCTCCTAACATCTTTCCTTAACCTCATGACGTTTTCCCCGGGGTTAAGGTAAAGAGGATAGTGAAAGGGGATAGGAGGGACAATCCGGATGCACCCTAAGATGGCAACTTTTACAATGACCGTGAACATCGGGCCCAGGTGCTCTCAGTCATGCTGCCTACCATTTACATGTACCTGCAACACAAAAGAGAAGGCACAACCTAACAGGCCACAGTAGCAGAAAGTAGCTTAAACACAACAAAAACTATCTGCCTAAAGAGATAACAAAGCAAACAGGCTTTCCTCGTTACTTCCATTTTATTTTTAAATCCTTTAAACTCACACCGATAATGCTGCAGTGAGAATTTTTTCTCTCTCCATTTTTTAATATACTCATGAGCAGCTTTTAAGGCCATTATTTATTTTGGTCTATGAAAAAGTCACGAAAAAAACATGTGTTTATGTTGTGTGCGTGTTCCTGCTGTTGTGAAGGATCATCACGGAGGTGAGTGAGAACTGAGGGAGTTGAGGGCTGCTTGTCATAGAACAGCATGCCTGTGTTTATGAAATTAACATTGGTCGTCCTTGAGGCCTTCCTGATTGAATCACAGGCTCGATGACGTCATGCAGGTTTAAGTCATATTTTGGATTAGGGAGGGCAAGAGAGACGAGAGAAAGAGAGAGAGAGAGAGAGGATGAGTCACTGCCTCATTGATGACTGTCTCCACTGAGTGGTCAGATAATTCAGGTACAGAAGGAGACACAGGCACAGCACGACTGCCTAATGGCACTCAGATAAAATGACTTATTGAGAACTTGCAAAATACACCTTTTAAGAAGATTAAATAGTATTGATGCACCTGCCTGACCCGTCCCCATGCTGGATTATATTTATGACCAAGAATTGAAATAACAGGCAAGCAACATGTGCCACCATCAGACATGGGACTTAGTGCAAAGACTACTGAAAAGTTCAGAGTAATGATCTGATGTGCACCACATTGGACATTTTCAAATCTAAATAAAGTCATATAAAGACGACCAAAAAAAAGCAGAACAACCACAAAATGAAGCAAAATACAATCAAAGAAAAGCAACGGAAGAGTCAAGATATGAAAGACCAAGAAGAGAGTCCAGAACAACTCAAAATACAAAATGACAGAAGCACACATCAATGGCTTCTTCTCCTTATTGCCTGGTCTGTAATACATCACACATACTAGCCACATTATTTCAGAGACCAATGTGACCTCATCAAATGACTTCCCCAAAATATATTCAGTTGGATGCATGACCAAAGAAAAACATGTCGGAGCCTAAAAGCATCTATATTCAGGAATACAATCATCAGGGATAGAAAAATACTAACTTCAGCTCAACTTATTTTAATTCCAAGAAAATCTGCAAGCTACTTTTCTGAAATGTGTAAGTCATTCCATCTCATTTATTTAACACCACAAAACTCTGACTCAGTGGCATGTGCACGTTATGTAGTTTACCTGGTCTGACACTTAGAGATTCAGTGTGTTGTGAAGTCAAACACAGAAAATATTTGAGAACCTGACATCGTCGACTGTCAAGAATAGAAAATCAAATGTGTTTTTTCTGTATTTTCTACTGAACAACTCATCAACTAATTGTTGTGCCTCTGCTTGTGAACCTGACTCAGTTGGATAGACATACACAAATGTGTTGACATAGAAATATACCAGCCTTCTGTTAGACTTTAAGATGACTATTCCCGTACCTGGACAAAACGTGTCAGCAATGTGATAAGAATATGTTCAGTTAATATTCACAAAGCACAGGTTTATTTGTCATAAAGTTTTGGTATTTTTCCAAACACAATTCAAAGGAACATTTTGATACAAATGAAGTAAACCCCAAAGAACATGTACAAGTGCAATGTTACCTTTCGATGGATTACAAAGGATATATAACCTGTCAGCTCAAGCACCAGTGCAGCGATATTCTCTTTTTTAGTGCATAAACAGTGAATGAACGACAGAGTCTCATGTTGCAGAGCAGAAATATACAACAGGACATATCGATAAAAAAAAAACCAATGAGTGGTATTTTTCTCTCTCTTGATTACATCATCTTATTACCATTCAATGTTTTAACCTCATTGAGTGAATTGAATTTTAAACTGAAGGAAATTAACTGCAGCCACCTCTTATTCTCAAAATATTCTTGTTGGAAACTGTGTCTGAAAATACATGAACAAAATATTATTACATTACAAACAACTTGGTCAAAACTGTTGATTCTGCTAACACTGTCTCATATCCAAGAGCAAAACACCAAACAAGCTCTCTCTCACCAGGCTTTGGCATCTCTGTTGAAACAGGCAAAGGGCTCCCTCTTGTGCTGAAAAGGCGGGACTGCTTGTTGAATCTTTGAAAGCTTTCACACCAGAGTAGTGTGACTGGCTGAACCACACTGCAAGGATAGAAAGCAGCAATGTACAACCACACTGCTCACCCACAATATCACCAATTCCACTAACAAGAGTGTGGAAACAAAGATCATTAGATCACATTCGATGTTCATACATCGTATGTAAATGAAATCACGTCCTGGCTCCTAATCAGTGCCTCTTTTTGCACCCCGATCGGAGTGTGCAGGTCTGACACCTGAAAGTTCAGTACGTCGATGTCAGACGCTCCAAACGTGGCCTCCACCTTTACCTTCTCGTACATGTTAAACTGAACCTTCCTGTTGGCCATGGAGAGGAGACATCGGAGGAACGTCTCCCTCAGCATAGATCGTGCGTGTTGCTCTTTCTGCAGCTGCTCCGGGTCAGCCTCTGCTTCGGCAGATGTTGGAATGGAGGTGCGGCACAGAGCGATGAAGCGAGGTGATTTGGGGTCAAACCCGCGGCTATTTGGGTCCGGTCCTCTTGGCAGGCGGAGCACAGACACAGGTGTTGCCATGGCCAGTCACTAGGTCTTTCTTTCTAAACCTGTTAAATAAAAACAGTTCAATAAAGTATTAAAAGAAGCCATAAATAATGTTTTAAAAGACATACTTTTAGTAAATATTCATACAGATTACAAAGAGGTTTTAAGTGTAAACTTACATATTGTGTTTGTGCAATAAATTACAATTACGTAATATTATCCCTCAAAATATTTGACAATATAATAGGAGAATGTAAACATCCTGTAGTAGATGCTGCCTACATTAATAAAATCAACTACCAGATTGTTTTCGGGGGATATTTCTTCCAAGGATATTTGCAATTGCTTGGACCATGTTTAAAATATGTTTAATCATTTAAAGTAGACAAAAAGTATCAGCTTGATCTCAGATCCATGTTTTGGAAAAGGTGGATTCAATAAACAGACTTTCTTAGTCAACATTGCCAGATGTAGCTAAAAAATACAAATATAATATGAATTACATAATCTAAAATATTGTATAATACTCAATACATTATTTTTTGGGGGGGCAGCTATTCATTGCAAACACAATGGATATGTTAGGATAAACAAACACCTTGTAAAAGTCAAAATGAAAACCATCAACTTCAATAAAAGGTTAGTTATTCAAGCAATTTATGAGAAAATAAGTAAAACATACTACCTTTTTTAAAATTGGGATTCATATCTTGCTTCGTTTGTATTATTATAAACTGAACAAATTTGGGTTTGACTTTTTTCAGACCAAACAAGACATTTGAAGGTGTAGCCTAGGCATTGAGAGCTAAATGCATTACAGGATGAGTCTGGAAAGGAAAACCTCTAATTCAAAAATCCTCATGTGCAACCATATAATATGAAGTTAAGATTTATTAACAGTACTGACATTAAAACTTTTGGCAGCGTCAGAAAACACCAAAACCACCCAAGATTAGCTTTAATTTAATTTCACATTTACTGACTTGACTCGTATTGTTTGGACGTTTTGATGCAAAGCACAAGTCACAGATAGGAAACACAAAGTCACATGTGGTTTATAAAATAACAGTTTCCATCAATTTTGGCTTTAGCTACTGTTGCAGTCTGTGGATATATATAGCTATCTAACTTCACAGATTCAGGTAATGTTAAAAAAACAACCAACAGATTAATAATATAGGGAAGTTAATTACTAATGTCTCTTTACAAAAGTTAGCAATTTGTAAATAGCGCGTGGCTTTTCCTCAGACAGCTACGATTTGAGAAAACATGGCAGAACAAACGCTTCAAATGAGGTTTCTTCCTCACATTAATCACTAATATGGATTAATGTAAAATGCACTAATGTTTTACTGTATAAAATGACTGTTTATACCGTTTTGCTCCAGTTGTTTTCATCTGCTGCAGCAACCAAGTGCAACGTTGTTGTTTCGTTTTCTTCTTCTTTGGATTTATTAGCATTTTGTAAAACAGCATGTTGAGATTTACCGCCGCCCAGCGGACTGCAATATGTCACCATACAGTTTATGGTGTCAACTATGGAGGACGAGATCTGACAGAAGTACAAATAAATAAATAAATAAATGTATAAATAAATACTGGAATAAATAAATAAAAGAATCAATCAATAAATCAATAAATAATTAAATGCGTGAATAAATAAATAAAAACTGGTAAATAAATGGGACATAAATAATTAAATGTCTTAAATGTATTTCTACATTATTTATTTCCACATTTATTTATTTCCATATTTATTTATTTTTACATGTATTTATTTCCACATTTACTAATTTCTACATTTATTTATTTACACATTTCTGTGTCCGTATGCTAATAAGGTAGGAGAGACTAACGTCAGTCTCATTCAGGATTGGTCACAAGAGTGTGATGATCCAAATCTACTACTTCTGTTCGATGCTGACAGCTAGCTGAAGAAGTGATGGCAGAGTTTTCACTCTGTATCTAGAGTGACTCAGCCATGGACAGCTGCGAAAGGGAAAGTTAGGAACAAACCTCCACCACAAAAGAATGTCGAACTAAAGAACAGATACTCCCCTCTGTTGCAGAGCCCTGGATCTTCATCTGATTCTCCATCCTCAGACTCCAGGGTTATGGAGGACGAGATCTGACAGAAGTATAAATAAATAAATGTATAAATAAATACTGGAATAAATAAATAAAATAATTTACACATTTCTGTGTCTGTATGCTAATAAGGTAGGAGGGACTAATGTCGGTCTCATTTAGGAACTTGCCTGAACATGTCAGGGGTGAAACTGTTCACCGCCAACATATTTTATTTCTCCCTTTTTATCTTCCATAAACTCTCTCACGCCCCCCTGTCCCTCTGCGGGTGCGTCATATTTAATCTCCTCAGCTTGATAAAGACAAAATGCAGAACATTCAAAGGTCAAACTGATGTGTTTTGGGTCCAGGCTGCAAGGATATCTGCAGTCATGACTCACTCCAGGATAAGGCGGGGCCCTGCACATCAGTAGGTTCCAAAATATCTGTGATGATAGGTAATAGAAGAATAAAGGGGACTCTGCCAAGAAACAAAAGGCAGTTATGTGATTTTGCAAACTTGTCAAACTTAGCATCCATTCCTTTTGAGCCTCAACCTGTCCCAAAAAATGTTAGCAGATGAAGCTTCTAGGACCCTAAAGCTGGCTCTACTAAACATTAGATCACTGGCAGGGAAATCATTTTTAATCAATGATTTTATTATTGAGCACAAGCTTGATTTTATGTTTTTAACTGAAACTTGGTTAGATCAAAATAACAGTGCCGCTGTTCTTATCGAGTCAACCCCTCCCAACTTCAGTTTTGTAAGCGAGGCTAGAGTGAATAAGAGAGGAGGAGGAGTTGCAGTTTTGTTTAATGATTCCTTCCAATGTAAGCAATTATCTTTTGGAAATGTTGCTTCTTTTGAATATGTGGCCCTTCAGTCCACCCCCAGAACTATGTTCCTAAATATTTACAGGCCACCTAAATACTGAGCAAACTTCAATGAACTGCTGTCTGTGATCTGTATTGACTTTGACTGTGTTATTATTGTTGGTGATTTTAACATCCATGTTGATAACCCCCAGGACAGAGGGACTAAAGAACTGTTTCACACTCTTGATAGCTTTGGTTTGACTCAGCACGTGACAGAGCTCACACACAACAGAGGGCACACTCTGGACTTAATCATCTCCAAGGGCTTGGACATCTCCAAGGTTGTTGTTTCCGATGTTGCCCTCTCTGATCACTCCTGTGTTTTATTTGAGAGTACTATGTCAGTGTACAAAAGTATTCAAACAAAAGTGATCACAAAACGGTGGAATGCTAGGAGTCTCACCTGATTGGTTGGAAAGTTCATTCTCACTGTCAATCAAACACATTTTTTCTTTTATCTCTTTTATTTAATTATTTATTCGTACTCTTTAAGCCTGGGTTACATTTAACTATATATATATATATATATATATAGTTAAATGTAACCCATATATATATATATATATATATATATATATATATATATATATAAAAAATGCCTAGTCCTGTGCAATTAGAGTTAGCCGCAATGCTAACAAGATACATGTAAAATGTCATATGCCACTGCTAATCAGTTAGCGTTTGTGTTGTGAAATTCAGGCTTTTTGTGATCTGTAAGAGCAAACGTTTGACACCGAGAAGAGTGAAAGTAGCTTAGCTTAGCCACAGCATGTAAATGAGTAAGGAATAGTTTAATGCAAGTTATGATGAAAGCTTTTCCTCTTTTGTTAATTTCACTCTCTTTTGTGGAGTCTCTCACACAGAACTTCAGTGTTTCATAGTACAGTATTACAGTAAAGTGTCCTATGTTGTCTTATCAATAAAAAGCTCAACAGTAAATTGATAAAGAAAATCTTCAACCTTTTTTGCAGTACAACAGAGCTAATGGAAAATTGTGAATAAAAACAGATGTTATTTTAATACTTAAATGTGTTAAATGTTAAGTGCTTAAATTGGGATGAAGCCTGTGTTGATGCTGACGTGCATGTTTATCTTTATAGGGGCGGTGTGACCTGTCTGTAGGTCAGGTTTTGGTAAAAGGCGGATTTTGGGCTCATCCAGAAGACCATCCACCGACAAGAGCATCCACCATAAAACTGAGAGCAGCTAACTGGATAGTGAGCCCAACCTTCGAGACCTCAAGTGGGATTAAGAAGACTGTTGCTTCTAAGGAAGAACTTCCTTTGCTACTTCATAGAGCACAGAAGCACAGATTAAACAGAAACACACACCTGGATTGAACCCCAACGAAAAAGACTGGGCTTAGACACTTCAAATGTTTGTTTTATTTCATGTGCACACTTTATTAATTAAATTGTTAATTGCATTAGTAAATTGTATATTGTAATCTTGACCTGCAATATTTGTGTTCCTTACATACAAATTTTGAAAATGTATTCCTGTGTGCGTCTCTTGACTGGTATTCAGACCTTGGGCTCCAGGTGTGTCCTAGTCTTCTGATGTTTGTCCACCTTCAACACTTTATTTACAGTAACATGGGTTAAAAACAACTATGCTTTTTCCCTGAATTTGATCAGATATGTTGGTAGCTATGACACACCAAATGTTTTCATAATGTTGTTTACAGTTAACGTTAAAGATAATACTTGTATTTGTAGCAGCATTTTTTTTTTCAAGAACTGTTTGAGTGGAAGTTCAATAGACCTCCTTTTTGTTTCTGTGTTTACTTGGACCCTGTTCCCACTGAGCTGTTAATAAGTGCATAATAAAGTATTTATTAATTTTACAAGTCGTGTTCCCACTTTAGATCCAGTACCTGCAGATAAGCTTTATTAACTCTTAATAAGTGCATAATAAAGTATTTATTAACCTTTATAAGGCATTAATATGAACCTAATAAAGTCTTATCAATGTCAATAAACATCTTATGAATGTTGATAAGTGGTCTATAAATAAGTTTCTTTGTGTTAATTAATATCTTACAAGCCAATTATAAATTAATTTATAGTTTAATTAACACTCATGAAGTCTTATTAATGTTAATAAACATCTTATTAATGTTTATGATGGTATATAAAGTGTCAGTACATTTCTAATAAGAGCCTATAAGTGTCTTATAAGACATAATAAATGTGTTAATTATGCCTATTAACACTTATATTGTCTTATTTGTGTTAATAAGAATCTAATAAGGTCTTATAAGTGACTTATAAGTGACTTATTACCTGTTATTAATGCTTATTACAAGCACCTTACTTTAAAGTGTTACCCTGCCTAAAAAAATCAGTCAGACAACTGCAGCTGATCCAGAATGCTGCTGCTAGAGTCCTCACCAAAACCAAGAAAATGGATCACATCAGTCTAGTTCTGAGGTCCTTACACTGGCTCCCAGTCTGTCAGAGAATAGACTTTAAAATCCTGTTGCTGGTTTATAAAGCGCTTAAAGGTTTAGGGCCAAAATACATTAGTGACCTCCTGATTAATTACGAGCCATCCAGACCGCTCAGGTCATTTGGGACAGGTCTGCTCTCTGTCCCCAGAGTCAGAACCAAACATGGAGAAGCAGCATTCAGTTTCTATGCTCCTTATATCTGGAACGAACTCCCAGAATACTGCAGGTGTGCTGAAACTCTCAGCTCTTTTAAATCAAGGTTGAAGACACACCTGTTCACAGCTGCCTTTCACTAAACAATTTTAATAAGATTTTACATTTTAACTCTGCACTGTAACTTTTAACTCTTTTCATATTTTTACTTTATTTATTTCAATTAATTTCATTTGAATTATTTCATTTGAACATATGTTCAGATTGAATAATTCCAGTGATTATTATTATTATTTTTTTAATGTTCTATTTTAATGTTTCTTTTCTTTCCTCTGTCATGATGCTTTTGATGTCTTGTGTGAAGCACTTTGAATTGCCTTGTTGTTGAAATGTGCTATATAAATAAACTTGCCTTGCCTTGTTAGCCCAAGCTGCTAAGTGGGCCATCAGAGAGAAAGCCCCTCAGCTGGCCATGTGTCTTACTGGTGATGCACTTTCGAGCTTACTGTTGTTAAGTCTTGTTGATAGAAGTGACTATGAGGCTCTGGTTGGAGCTTTGAGAAGGCGGTTTGGACTATGCTCAGCAGTTAGCCTGCTATGCTCTGAACTGTGCAGCCGCTAGCGTCGGCCTGGGGAGCCGCTGAGAGAGTTGGCTAATGACATTGAAGGACTAGTCCACCACACCTATGCTCACATGCCACCCGCCATACAAAGTGAATTAGCCCGAGACCACTTCCTCCAAGCTATACTACCTGCTGACCTCCGGGTGCAGACACTGTTGGCTCATCCCAGGTCCCTCCAAGAAGCTCTGGAATTGGCTTCAGAGAGAGAAATGCTGTCCGCTCACCCCTCAGAGGTAACAGTTGACCCATCACTGAAGGTGAGAGCTGCAAGTGTGACTGAACTG